CGGTGTATCGATGTATCGGTGCGAGCGCGGCAATCGGTCTATCGGTGTATCAGTGCGAGTGCGGCAACCGGTGTATCGATGTATCGGTGCGAGGGCGGCAATCGGTCTATCGGTGTATCGGTGCGAGGGCGGCAATCGGTCTATCGGTGTATCGGTGCGAGGGCGGCAATCGGTCTATCGGTGTATCAGTGCGAGTGCGGCAACCGGTGTATCGATGTATCGGTGCGAGGGCGGCAATCGGTCTATCGGTGTATCGGTGCGAGGGCGGCAATCGGTCTATCGGTGTATCACTGCGAGTGCGGCAAACGGTGTATCGATGTATCGGTGCGAGGGCGGCAATCGGTCTATCGGTGTATCACCTAGAGGGTCCAACTGCTTACTTTGGACGCTTTTTCTCCTAGATAAAGCTTTAGCTGTACTTTGTTGATATTGCTGTTGTTTGTTTTTGATATGTTAACATCCTGCAGTGCTCCATGCATGATGCATGCAGCTGCACGTGTGTCCTTGAAAAATTGAGCATGCAAGCACGAAACCACACACTTGCTCAGAACTGCCTTATCGAATTGCAAAGTTGTAATGCATCGTACGTGCAAGACACAGAACCAGACAACCAACAAGATGAAACACGATGACGAGAAGTATACGTATGACATGAAAAATCAGAGATGGCATGCTGAGAGCACACGTCCTGTGTCCTGATTTTGACATGTTCACAGCCATTCAATGCCAAATTCTGAGTTTAACGTCTATTTTCCAAACGGTTTTGGGCTAGAGAAACCATAGCTAGATTTTCAGGACCATGACCTTTCTTATTTTTGAGGCAGTGGTCATCCCATTTATTTTACGGGGACGAAACAGTGGATTTAAGGGGCCCAGTTTGTGACGATTGTATCAACTTGTGGATATGGGTATGGGTCAAAATTAGGTACCCCAATAATTGGATGGTTAATACTAAACCAGACTAACATCTGTGGTTTTTCTAGGTCTTCCATTTTGACCCACATCCATATAACGGTTTGTACGTGGGTAATCCCCACCCTTGACGTTTCAATACCACCATTGAGAACCTATAGGTTTAGGGACCCAGTCTGTGATTACATCAACTTGTGGATATTATTTGATATTATGGAATGTACATGGGTAATTTTTACACCCGAAGTGTGATTACCACCATGGACACCTATAATATAGATTTAGTATTGGATTTACGTTGGTTTCTGAGATGGATGTGTATAGTATGGGATAATGCAATGGGGATACATGAGAAAAAATAGAATGTCGTTAACCTATTTAAGGTATGGAAAAATCTGTGGTATGATGGTTTTTACTTACAAGTTGTGGGACATAACACCCATTTGGCACCACCTGGCCGGAAGGGCCGTTTGGGATATAAATCATATTTTTGTCACCTGTTGGGTGACAGAAGAAGCCACTATATAATGAGATCCAAATTGCGTATGGTGGGGAAGCAAATCGCATATGTTCAGCACCTGCCAGGTGACCGTAAAATCTAAAAAATGGATGGTGATAAATCCTTAGTTCCCAATTGATGGCATATCATAATGAAATATTATAAATGAAATATTTAAATATTTCATTTATAATATTTCATTATGATATGCCATCCCAAACCACCAAAGCAATACTTTCCCAGAAACCATGCCAGTGGGTTGTCGTGTCCCAGCCATTTTGACTTGCCACGGCTTCGCTTGCCCTTTCGGGCCATTCTATCACAAGCACGGTAACACAAAGTTTGTAGTGGTGAGGTCATCCTGAAACAACACAATGGAAAAGTAGAATCAATATAGTGGCTATTTGGGGAAAATAGTGCTCCATTCATTTGCCCAACAGCATCCAATAACATGGAATTTGCACAGCGGATCAAAAATTTTATAGGTTTTGAATTGCATATGTATTTTTTTGGACGCTCACACACCCTATGTCTCTGGCCAGAGATGCAGCTCACTGCTGCCATGGATGCTGCCTCTGCAGCGGATGATCCGGCAGTGCCCACTTGGGGTGAGTTGGGGAAGGTCACATGTGGTTTTCTGGCCCTAAAAGTTTCGGCCGCATGTATGCACGCCACTTGGATTTTTTGGGGTAGAGTAGTAAAGATTCTTCTTGGACTGCTACATAATGAAATCGGGTTGGCCCCAGCCCCAAGGAAGTAGGCAATCGAAGTTCAATTTGTTTCTGCAATCATCTGCAATCAGTTTCTGTAATTACACTGTTGTGAGTTCCCTGCTGCTGATCCCAAATACCACCATTGAAGCCTTTTGGTGCTAGTTTTGGGGTGAACCGCACAGTTCGGTGCCTTGAGTCTCTGCAATGGCAGCTGCACCTGTGCCGGCCATCGGCGAACATCGGGCAGGGGATGCGTGGCTAGCTCAAGGCTGGCGTTCTACACGCCCGGGTCGCATCTCATGGGCGAAAGAGGATGTGGAGTCTTTGACATCGTTTATCTATTGTAATCTTTTCTCATGGGGATGGGGGTGACAGTCAGAAAGACATATCTTCAACAGTCAAAGAGACCCTACAGGATGTCGAATCTTTCATAACATTTTGTTTAGGGATTTGGAGCGATGTCGCAATTACTGGCTAATTTTCTGTGTTATCCCTATTAAGCTTCCCCGGGAAAGGGTGGCCCGTGGCATGCGTGTCAACTTCCCTATGGATGTGACCACTTTGCTCCTTAGTCCTGATTGGAAGGGCGGCCCCTTGGTGGTTCTCCACAATAAGTTGGGCCGGCCGCCATCGGCCATGCTGGGCAAGAACCACATTTGGTTGCTTCCTTTCGTGAAGGAGTTTCCGTCCAAGGCACCAGATAACCCATCATAACCCCACAAATTTACAGATTATTGGTTTATATTTTAGGAATATCTTGGGATTAGATCTGCAGATAATGTTTCCACCATGTGTTATCTTTACAATTCCTCATTACCGGTTGAGCCCTGCCAAATATCCACGCAGTAGGTTTTCATCACAGATATCTACTTATTTCTGGATGCCTTAAATATTCAACAAGAATGGATGGGCAATCTTAACACAACAAGTGTGGAGATTATTGGTTTTATATACAATGTGGGAATAAATCTGCACACAAGGTTTCCGAAATGTGTTATCTCTGCAGTTCCTCATTACCAACCCGTTGGACCCTGTCAGATTCCCAGTGGATATTTCACTACAGATGTTTGCTTATTTCTGGATGTCTTCTTCAACAAGAATGGATGGGCAAGCTTAACCCAACACATTTAGAGATCATTGGTTTTATAATGTTTTAATATGTTTTATATATTCTGGGGTTAGATCTGAAAACAATGTTTGTTACCCCTGCAGTTTCTTATTACCGGTTGAGATCATTGGTTTTTATAATGTTTTATATATTCTGGGGTTAGATCTGAAAACGATGTTTGTTACCCCTGCAGTTTCTTATTACCGGTTGAACCCTGTCAGATTCCGAGCGGATATTTCATCACAGATGTCTACTTGTTTTTGGATGCCTTGTTCAACAAGAACGTGTTCCACCCTGACCCGAAGAATCCCATGGAAACACGTGCGGAACTCGCTGCAGAAGAAGCGGTGAAAACCAAACGATGCCTCCAAGCCTTGCGTTACCTTTGGCGCAACGCCAAAGAAGCTTCCCATTGCCCACGGGTCCAAATGCTAAAGGATTACTTGGCCCCTTCCCCGCTCCAGGAGCGCAACCGAGACCACAGGCCTCTTCAAGACTCCGACACCGAAGGAGAAGGGCCTGCCGATGTGAACATTGAGGTGGTTGAGGACTCCCCCAATTCACCGGAACCCAGTGAAAATGGTGACAATGAATGTGGTGATTCTGAGCATGATTCTGGTGATGAGGGTCATGGTGAAGAGTCCCATGGAGAAGAAGAGGGTGATTCATACAAGGGTCGGGTCATGCAAGTTGCAGAAAGGGTGGATTCCTCTGTTCCCCACAAGGAAGTTGCTGATACCCTTAGTGACAGTGATGAGAGTTCGTTGAAAGCTCCTACCCTTCGCTTGGATGACTGCCATGCCAGCCCATCCAGCCCGGTAGCAAGTGAACATAGCCAACAGAGCCAAGAGAGTGACCCAGACATGCGTGACAGCCAAGTTGGTTCAGGGTGGCTGGGGAAATTCTATGCAAAATATGGCCGTTTTGGCAAGGATGAAAACACGGACCCCAACCTGCCACGTTGCGTGGTAGAAGGTGACACACAAGGGATGTTGGACCACATTCGTGCTACTCTTGTTGGTGGCAACGCAGAGCTTGAGGAGTCACTTGTCTAGTGCAAAACAACCTGAACTCATGCTGGGTCTATTGAAGCTTTTTACAGCGTCCCAAATCCCATAGAGCAAACATTTCATTTCAGGTATTTGTCAAAAAATCCCAAATCCCACGGAGCAATTTCAAATTAAGGTCGGTTCCAAACAAAATTTTACCCATGAAAACACTTCAAATTCAGGTATGTTCCAAAACAGTTTGCCATCGGTCCATTGAAGACTCTGTCAATTGTCCCAAGTACCATGGAGCAAGCATTTCAAGTTTAGGTATGTTCCAAACACTTGCATGATCATATGTCCATTCAAGAATCTTGTAAACAATTGACTATTTGCCCACTCAAACATGTCAAATGCCACCCACATGTGGTAACTTTTTGAAGCCGCTGTGTTCTGAGGCACCCTTTGATGGACTCCTACATCGACCATTGCTGGAATGCCTTGATGACCTATGGGAAATATGTTTTCAGTACCTTGAAATCGGAGCGTCATTTCTATGACTTTGTTGGTGATGAGAAAGCCCAGGAGCATGACCGGTTTCCTTTTGTCAAGTCAAAGTTGTGTGATGTGCAACGTACTTATCAAACCAACTTTCAACAGGGCCCCCATAGATAGGTAAGTTGTTTTGTAGCAATGCCAGCTGTAACACATCTATTGTTCAGCGGGTTTATAAACCGATCTATGGTATATCCAGCTGGGGTGTCATTTCCTGTGGGGCCCCAGTAGAACCCATGCAGGAAGCCAAGCCTGCAGTGCTCAGATCTTCTCAGGAGGCTAACAAGGCCAATCTCCGGCCTTGATTGCGTCACACACGTTTGATCAAAACAAAATCAAAAAAATGAAATGTAAGTCCCAGCTTTGTCTGATACCTTTGCTTCAATGCAAACTTGCTGATGTTCATCCCGTTGCTGGTGTGATAAGTCAGTGTTCATGGAAGTTTCAGACACACATGAGCCCATTTGGTCAGCCCTTATTTTTAGCGCAAGAACAATTGTGTCATACTGGCAAATTTCCAGGTAGTACAGTTCAGCTAAGTTTTCATTGTCTTGATTGCCCAGCCCCTGGCAGCAACTTCCACAACCAGGCGTCCACGCTGAACACCGGCTTCCGTGACGCTTTGAACCTGATGAAGCTGGGCAAGGCTGCAGACGAAGCGGATGAGGAGTGCTCTATCACACCGGCTCCAAAGAAACCACGGTTGTCCGATGAAATAGCCCAGGGGTTGGAAATCACACCTCCTCCCGTGGTGGGGATGCAATCGGATTCTTGGTTTACTCTTGGGGAAGTTGGTGGAAAACAGTAGACCCATTACTTGTAGGAGCACCTCATCAAATAACCGGCACTCATTGGGGTTTATTGTGCAACTATCTACTATCAATGGGATAACACAAATAAGCCACCAATGAACCATGGTTTAAACCAATTATATAATTGGTAAGTGGGACGACCCTGCAAGTACGACCTACCAGTGTAACTTGTTCTATGTGCATGTTGCCCCATATGGTTTCCCAATCCCCATATGGTTTCCCAACCCAATCAAATAAGTTTACAACATCAACCATGCAATTGCCCAAGGCGAAGGCCATGGCCAAATTGAAGAAGCAGGACATGGGAAAGAAGAGCCAGGCGGAACCCAAGCGAGCCCGAAAGGTTTTCAAGGGGAGCTCCGAGTCCAACCGTGCAGAAGATGGTGAAAGGGCCAGGGTGAAATCCTTCAAGGGGTATGATCTTTCTGACCTTCCTGAAGCAGCACTTCCTTTTCGTAATGGGGTGTACAAGGGTAACCATAGCTACACAGTGACAATGGGTGAAGCGGTCCCTTGGTTGTGCGAAGGTGGTTGCATAGATGTTCAAACCACATTCACGCGCACAAATACAACAGTTTCACAGCTTTCATAGAGTTGCTTAATTTGATAGGGAGTTCTTCTTTGGAACAAGCCAAAGGGACGTAATCCTCTGATTCAAACATCCTGGGTGAGCCTAGGCGTTTGAGATCTTGTGCAAGCACGGCGCCTACGTCATCAAGAGGTGTGCAGATCCCAGTCAGAAGCCAGCGAGCGCCCAAGTGACGTGGAGCCGATTTGGCGGTGCTTGCAATGCTTGGGTTGAGGCTTGCCAACGCGCAGGTGTGATGTCTAGCGAAAGTTCTTAGAGAAAGTTCTTAGAGGATCGTGTTGGGGGAACGCGCATAGGCTCGCTGTTGGACCAGCCTGATAGCCATGCTACAAGTTCAACTTCAGTGATTACATGTATACATGCTTGAAAGGAAGTAGAGGAACTAGTGATTTCAGTATATTTCAGTGATCGTTTAAGGTTGGTGTCCTCCACACAGCAGGCGCGTATGCCTATATTCTATGATCGTGGAAACAGCTTAGGGGGTTCCACTGTAGCTGCCGTGAACGCAACATGGCACATCAGTGGCTTGTGACTTTCATCTGGAAAAAGGAGCGAAAAGGTTCTGGGAATCAAATTTGCCGAGGTCATGGAACCCATTGTTGTTACAAAGGTCGTTGAGTTACACTGGTTGAGAAACTTGAAATCCAAACCATCATGGAATAGAAGCATTCACTTGTTTTCTTAAATATGGTTAGTGTTTAAAGTTTCTCAACCTTTGTTGGTTTTACCACCCCTCTGTCAAATGCATTTTCTTCGAGCCGTTGCTTTCCAGGTACCTTGCTTCATGGCTTTCTATTTGGTGGTACAGGACACCGGAAATCCCGAAACATGTGGGCCAGGGACCATTGATTGCAATGTGCCACAACATATGATAGACTGCAATAAAATCTGTTTAAACACATGAGCTGTTAAAAAGGATGGAGATGACCAAATGACTATCTATCGTACAAGGGATTTTGGCTTCAAGGCGGCAGAAGTACCTTCAAGCCATGGCAAAAAATACCGTGATTGTGAGCCGTAGGGATGCCAAGCGAAAAGTCAAGAGATCGAAGGATGAGATGGTTTTCCCCAAACCCTCGGGTGACATAAGTTCGAGAGATCCCCGACAGCGGAACCTTTCCCACATTCTGGCCGGCCTCAAGCATCTCAAGGCTCCAATCGAACCCAGCCTGCAAAAAGATATGGCAAGATCGGGACAAATTTGAGGCAGGTTTTTCACCACCATAGTTCCACCACACCGTTCAGTGGGGGACCATTTAAATAAACATTGTTCAACCTTCCAGTGAACAGGACGATGTGAAAGATACCCCAATACCCTACTGACACCCACTGACATTCTAAAACCATTCAACATTTTTCCCAAGGTTTGTTATTTGTTGTGAAAAAATCGTTTCGTTGTGAACAGATCGGCGCCACAGATTACCAAAGATACCTTATTACCCTGCTGACAGAGTTGAGATACTACAAACTTTTCACAACTTTTCCTGGAACCCTCACATGTGGATAACATACCTTTGTGGCCTCGTGACTGATTTGTATTCATATCAGAAATAGTTTTAGGCTCCCCAGCTGGCACCCAGTTTAAAGATAAGCCCAAACATTGCTAAATTTCATGCGGTATTTGGCCATTTTTGGGGCTTCTGTGGGGCCCAAAATTTAAAAGGAAATTTGCAACGAAACACTGTGTTTGGACAGGCGTGCATCAAAAGTATTTCAAGTTTACCATTCGCACACCAATACTTGAGGTTGGTCATTCAAAAGTGGGTTTCTTCTTCATAGCTGTAATCCCGGCATTCACAGACCCTTCATCAGCCTGCTGTCCAAACCAGGTTGTTTGCACCTTGGTCTCGCTGCTGTTTGCAATCCCCGGCTTGGATTGGTCAAGCCCATCTGACCACGTGGAGCTTTTCTGTGGGCAGGGTGAGGTCACGACGGCTGAGCTCCAGGATTGGTGCAGGGGATTCTGATTCTTCTTATCAACCAAAAAAGGACAATCCACCCATACCTTACAAAAGAGGAGAATGGAATCTGGTCATGTGTTGGGTGCTTATATGTCTTTATATGCCTTCACCCCTTCCACGATCACCTTCCTACATGGCATGTTGAGCAATTTCCAAGTTGTTGGTACTTCTATACTGATATTCAATATGTACCCCGGGAAAGTAATGTCCATGAAAAGATGCGTATTCGTCAGGCAGGGCGCAAGGCCATTGGCCTGGATCTTGAGATTGGTGGGCCTTCGATGGATATGGCTACTGACTTGGGATTTAGCAATTCCTTGTTTCAAGTGGCCAACCTTCGTGCTGGTGGGGGGGCTCTCGCCGCACCAGTATGTGGATCTTGGGTGTTCCTGTAACTTGGATCCAAAACAATGTGGTACCATGTTTGCACTCCAACAAATTGGGGTATCATGTGGGGTTCCAACCATAAACAATTTGGAGACATCTTGCCCCATAGATTTCAAACATAAAACAACAGGGTTAAATCTTTATCCACAGAACCAAAAATGGTGTTGATACATCATACCATACGAGGGATTCCCCCACAAAGTCTGGAACCGAATGGGGTTGAAAGCACTGCTGGGTGTGGAGTATCTTGGTATTTGGGGTAACACGGGTCTGGCGTTGAAACCACGGAATGTTTTCGATGCATAATGAAAGCCCCACCAAATGAGTGTATCAAACCAAGACCGGGTCTGGAGATACCAAAAAGGTGGTTTTGAAATATCATTGATTAAATGTGGACTATCAATCGTCTTGGTCCAGAAAATTGGGTATCAACAATGGAACACATGTAGGTTGCCTAAAATGGAGGGTGCTCCAAATCATCCAAGATTTTATGAATATTCTATTGAACCTATGGTTTTGGGGATTGACCATTTTAAGCACCTTCCATATGAGGGATTTCTCCACAAAGTGTGGAGACAAACTGGGATAGCCGTAATAGGTCTGATGGACCATCATACTACTATATGTAGGGTTGCTTTACAAGATGTTGGTATCACAAGGTGTTTGGTATTCAACCTATGTCTTGGATAGGTCCAGAAAACTCGGATCTCATGTTATTTTACAACATGTTTTTATATATCGGTATGACATCAGCAGTGGTTGTTTAAATCCAAAGCCTGTAGGTCCAATGGCTTTGGTATACAACACACGCTAGGCACCGGTCTGGGGCGTCCAACCCACGCGAAATTTGATTCACATACCTGCAGGGCAAGTGTATGCCATGTATCCTGGGTCATGATCATGTTCTCGGAGTTTGCCAGGGGTTTGATGCATTTTATTACTGAGGAGTCGTGGAAGTACTGGACGAACACGAACCAATCCAATGGGGGATAGCAGTTGCCGCAGCACTCGGCTTGGCAATTTGCTCACTGCAAGGACCCTAATTTTGCTGTGGGTGCTGGCAGCAAAAGGCTGCTGGTGGATTGTGGAACAACCAAGCAGCTCATTGATGGAGTTTCACGTTCTCTTTCAGAGATTTCTGTCTTTGATCCGAGTACGACGGCTGTCCATATGTATGGCTGATTATGGTAGTCCTACCTTGAAACCAACTTACCTATACAGCAGTCACTCGAAGCTTGAAATTCAGGATGAACTGTTTTTGGATTCTTCCCAGGCAAACTTCATGTTCTACAAGGGAATTAAAATCAGATTCTTGTCTTCGTCACATGGGCATTTCATAGTTGTAATGGTCTAATTTTGGACAACCCCACAAAACAGACCCAACAAAGTAGAAATTTGCATTTCGCAAAATCACACCTGTCGGTCCTTACCATATCAGGTCACCATGCAATTGACATGCTGCCCGACTACCAGAGCACCCGGCGTCTGGTAGACAGGGAGATGGTGCGCCGTTATACAAACGGCGCAGGCGAATCTCGCATTTGTGGTGGGCGAGACTTGAAATCAAGCCAAGCTTATCCAAAAGGGTGCCTGGACCAAGTTTATAGCTGGGCCTCATTAAATTCATGGGAATACCTACAAAGAGTTGGGGTAGTCAGTGGATTTCATCAAGTTTGTAGAAGTTCATACATGGTTCACAACAGGGCCCCATAGCCTTTCATCAAGACTGTGGTAACACATACGAAGATTAGGGGTATAAAACGTGTTCAATGGGGATTGCATACCTGGAGCTTATCCAGAAACACCACCATCAAATCCAATCCCATTGTTATTTTGTCTGGTATCTACCTATTCAGTGGAGCCCCATCAAAATTGTGGGGTTCATATAGTAAGGTGCTAACAGTTAAAATACTTCTGATTGATACTTTGGTATTTGATTGTATTCAACCAATATGCAGACGGTAAGAATCTTATCGTCTGTATTGTCGGTACATTTAAAAGTAAAGAAATTACACACACACACATATATATATATATACATAAAAGGTATGGAAAAGTATAAGAACACAGAAGTTGTCGTATTTGGCAATTGTCTTTAGCAATTGGTGGAATGTCATATGTCATATTGAAACTGCTAGTTTTCCACTTGGGTTGGCACCCCAAAAAAGGCCCCCACAAGTCATCAAAACTTGGGTAAAATGAGGGGAAAACAGTGTATTCTTGAGACTTGTGGGGGCCTTTTTTGGTGAACCAACCCAAGTGGAAAATTGCCATTTGAAACCCAAAACTTTTATTATTTTATTGTCCGTTCAAAGTGCGACCAAATCAAAATTGAAAACCAGCAGGTCCCCATCAAGACATTGGGAACACCTATAAGGGCTAAGGGTATAGAATCTATTCAGTGTGGAGAATATCACGTGACTTGTGGTGTAAAATCTCTCTCTATATATATATATTTGCATATGTATGTATACATATACATATACACATATATATATATACATATACATATATATACATATATATATATATCCATATCTATATATACATATATATATGTATATATATATATGTATATATGTATATATATATACATATATGTACATATATATATACATATATACATATATATACATATATATATATACATATATATATATACATATATATATATATTCAGAAACATCCTCACCAAGTCCAATCCCAGGTTTGGCGTTGCCTTGGCAAAGTGCCGGACGGCGGTCCAGAAGAAGCACCTGAAGCTGGCTCGACAGTTTCTCAGGGCAGCAAGGGCATCGACCAATAAGGTTGACACCCAAGCCAGTGTCAACAAAGCGTGGACGAAGGGCGCCCAACTTGAAAGTGTAATTCAATTTTTGTCTCACTAAGCAGCCATTAAACACCATTCCTATATATATATATATATACTTATATATATATATTTATATTTATATATATATATATTTATGACTACTGAGGGAAAAACCCATTGTCTCCTGGTGCATGGCTGTTGAACACCGAAAGGTGTGCTAGTGTGTTAGGGCCTTGTGGATTTAGCACATGGCTGTCATTTCCATTCCCCACGTCAAGATGTGGGAAATTGCTTGCAAGCCGATCCATACATACATAGGAACCAGAAAGTGGCTGATGGAAAACATGTTGCCATGGTCCTATTGCTTGGTTGGTCCTATACCAAAGATCTTTTTTGGGAACAGTTATGACCATTGATTGCCAAGCACTTATCTATACCAAAGATTTTTTTTGGGAATGGTCATGGCCATTGATTGCCAAGCACTTAGCTGTACCAAGATCATTGGTGGGAACGGTTGTGGCCATTGATTGCCAAGCACTTAGCTGTACCAAAGATCTTTTTTTGGGCATGGTTATGGCCATTCATTATATCCATATTTCTCTATGACCACCAACTCCCCACATTTTCAGTCTTCGATATCATTAGTGTTTCGGTGTAGTAGCTCACAAAATTCTCTGGTATGGGAAGAATTGGGAACTGAGGCATGTTTTCCATTCCACATGTATTTCAAAATGTTTTCGATTTCATGTCACCCACATCCTGTGGAGGAGTCTGCATGCCGCGCCTCTTCCTCAAGAAGAGACCACTGTCTGGTCTTGGTGGCACCTCCATGTTTGCAGAATGGGTTGCCGGGGCTGCTGCAGAAGGGGTTCCCCAACTTTTTGTTCAAGGGAGGACAAAAAAGTTATCTAACCTATAAAAAATAATGGTGCGAACTGGAGCGAGATAGCTGCGAACAACTGCGAATTGCTGCGAGTTGTAGGGATCATCTAAAAATGACAAAAAAACATACAAACAATTTTTTGTGAAATTTGCGAAGAATTGCGAATTGCTGCGAGTTGCAGCGTCCAAATCTATAGCCATCACTTATTTCACACAACATTTTTTCTATGTCTGCAGGATTTCCTTTCAAAGTTGCCTGAAAAGGCTTTGGGCTGCAGTTTGCAGCTTATGGGAACTGAAGAACCTTCTAGGAGGCTTCGTGGAAAGACTTCCCCAAAGGAGGCAGGTGTAAAGACCCCCAAGCCGATGGCTGGTCCATCAAAAGTCAAAGGCAAGAAGGAGGGCAGTGTGAAAAAGGTTGCCAAGCCTGGCAAGACATCCTCTGCACCTTCAGGTCGGAGCAAGGTGGATCTGGCTTTGCGAGCAGAAGCCGAAGCAGCTGCCCGTGCCCAGCTGAAAGCTATGAATGCTGCCAAGGAAGAAAAGGAAGAGGGGAGGCAGAGGAAGTCTGCCCTTAGAAAGCCAGAGGGTAGAAAGGATGATGGAAGTAAGAAGGGCGCATCAGGCAAGGACAAGATAGCCAACCGGGAGGTGAAGCAGAAGAAGAAGACAGAGACAAACAAAAAGCAAGAGCGCAAGGAAAAGAATGCCAAGAAGGACAAGTCAGAACAACACAAGAAGAAGGAGCAAAGGAAGGAAGGAGATCGGAGAGAGGAGATGCCGACAAAGAAGCAAAGAAAGAGAAGAGGGCGGACAAGACAGAAGTCAAGGAGAAGAAGGAGGCGAGGATTGAGAAGGCTGTGACAGAAGACAAGAAGAAGGAGTCAAAGAAGATGGAGGCATTGAAGGAGAAGGAAGCGAAGAAAGATAATGACATGAATGATGCAAAGAAGAAGCAGAAACAGAACGATAAAAAGGAGAAGACGGAGGGCACAAAGAAAGACAAGACCAAGAAGGACCCGCCCATCAAGTATGTCCCGGTGATCAAAGAGAAGGTTGAGCATGTCTTTGAAACACCAGAAGCAAAGAAAGGTCCATCGTCACCGTCTGCCCCAGACCCCAAGGAGACTAGAAAGCCATCCCCTGCCCTGTCTTTGCCGAGCACAACGGCTGCTGCTGCCAACTTGAACAAGTTGCAGGAGATGCTGGAGGATTCCGATGACGATGCTACTTCCAGCAATTATTCAAGCGATGTTGGTGAAGAACCCCAAGGTGATGAAGGAGAAGGCTCACAAAGTGAAGGCAAGTCTTTGGGAGAGGAAGCATCAGAAGATGAAGCTGAGGACGAGGAGGAAGCAGAGCGTGATGAACATGAAGACATGGAGGCAGAGGCTTCTGCTTCAGAAGAGGATGATGAAGATGAAGGAACAATGATGCAGGAAGAAGAGCAGAAGGAGGATGAGTCAGATGAGCAGGAGGACGAGGAGGAGGAAGAAGAGGAAGAATGCCCGGAAAGCAGCGAAGGAGAAGACTCAGAGAAGGAGAAGGAGGAGAGCAAAGTGAAGAAGGACGACGAGGCCCCCCAGCATGCCCTTGTTGCTTGCACGCAGCAGACCCCTGCACCGTCATCGGCTCTGGTCCCAGCTCCTCTGCGCAACAGTTACCTAATTGATCCATAGCATCTATTTGATTTTATACCCTTCAAGAATCTATCTTCAAGAATTTATCTTCAAGAATCTATCTTCAAGGATCTATGGCGTCAGGGCTTGTTTTGAGCAATGTTTGGAACCATTTGAGGCATGACTAATAAGAAGGAGTGGGATTCCTTTGTGAGAAGCAAGGGCCGCTTCAAGGTGCATGAGTACTATAGTGCAAACAAGGTCGAGTGCTTCAACACGTGGTTAGACAGCCAGAAGAGCTGGGACACAGTAGCACTAAAAGTGGAGAGGATGCATTCCGAGTCAGTTGAATCGACAAAGGGCTGGGTTGCTCAACAAGGTAAGGACATTAAAAAAACCCATAGTGAGGAAAAGGCAGAAGCAATTTTCAAATTGCGAAAGGCTTCGGGATTATGGTATCCATCAGAAGACTTCGAGAATGACGATGACGAAACTTAATCTTTACAAAGTAAAAGGTGTTCCCAAATATGTCACATTATATACCAAATCAGAAGTGCTACCACCACCGTTTACATATTTGGGGGCACCTGCCAATATGTTACTTTTATTTCATAGAAAGACCACATCAAATCAGTATGGGAGACCCTATAGTACCCAAATGTTTTTTGAACAGATTTGATTTGAGACCCGAATCCAATGTTGTATTTACAATGAATGATTCCCTTTTTGTTAAAGGAAGCTTGGTACTACATGCCAGTTCCCAAGCAGATCACCCACAAAGATGTTGTGACCGAGAATACCAAGCTGACTGCCTCTGCCAATGTGGATGGCGAGAATGGCTTGCTCGAAGCCTTGATCGACCAAGACGATGGTATCATGCGACCGGGGGCCATGCCAATGGTAACGGCAGCAAGTGCTGCGGGAAGCAAGTGCCTATTGGATGCTGTAGCTAAGGTTGCCCCAGCATGTTTCACACAACCAAGTGAAAGTACATGGGTGCTTCAATTTTTTGTGAGGCTATCAATTCAATTAAGGGTTTTCTACTGGACACAAATGATAGGGCACCAACCCTTGAAGCTCAATTCATTAAGGGTTATTAGCCACAGATTGATAAGGCTTCACTCCTGGGTTCTCATCTCAATTTTGGGTTATCTATCGTTAGTAAATGACAGGACATCCATCATATTTGGATTTTCAATTCTTCAGCCAATGCATGATTGGGCATCACTACTTGGTTATCAATTCAAGTATGAGTTAATTGCCAGCCATCTAAATCCTCAGTCCATTTTTCTTCAATGCATGGTCAGGTCAACCCACCATTTACCATATGATCAAACCGTTCCAGCTTCGAAATCCTGTTGCCAGCCGGCCTTTGCCAGGCGCCATGCGTGAAGAAAAAGGCGAAGCCACCTGCGAAGGAGGCCTCAGAAGAGGTGGTTCCGGTGACCATGGAGGAAAAGCTGAAGGCTGTGCTGGCTGACACTTTGAAAGAAGCGGGGGTTGCTCGAACATCGGCAATCACCCTGGCAGGGTTGGACTATGCTGACCATCTCAGTGATGCCATCAAAAAGCATTACGAAGACATTGAGACCCTCTACTCGACTGTGCAGAAAACCCTCAAGGGGAAAGCGTCAGAGAAGGAGTTGGGACAAATCTTGAAGAAGGTAGAGGACAAAGCACAGGCCACGAAGAAGTTTCAGGCCAGATTCACTCAGTCTCCAACATGTGGGGTGGCAATCGTCACGGCCCATCGGTTTACCTGTCGTCGGGTGGGAATAGCCACGGGAAACCGAAAAATAGTTACATACATGGACACATGCACCCCCACACATATACATATCAATAATATATTGAGGGATGTCACAAATATATGTATTTATACATATATATATCTATATATATATAATGTGTGTAATCAATCATATATTAATGCGATGTAAGTAAAATGCATACATCTCTCTATATATATATATAGGGATCCCTATGTATATATAATCATATACATGTAATAAGATATACGTCTATATTTAAATCTACTTACACGTTTCTTACAGGCATAAACATATGTGCCCAAAAACAGAATTTAAAAATATATCAATATGTCCAGGCAACATATGCATACATGCAATACATACACACACACATCTATTTTAATATGGGGTGCTGATGTAGGTAAATACATGTAAACTACAGATACAGATACAGATACATACATGACATGCATGCATGCATGCATGCATGCATACATACATGCATGCATGCATACATACATACAAAGATACATAGATTTTTGACACAAAAGAAATAGGCACAACTATAATGTAGTTGTACCTATTTATTTTGCGTTCAAACCATGCATACATACATACATACATACACACACATACATACATACATACATACATACATACATACATACATACATACATACATACATTACGTTCATATATATATATATATATGTATGTATGTGTATATTCAGATAGTGCTGGATAAGTTTTCATTATCAGCTGTCAAGAACCCTTGTTTTTTATACCAAAAACATTGAACAGCAAGGTTTCCACATCGGTAAAAAGGTGATTCTACAGCACCCTTCTATTTACACAAGGTTATCCCATGTTAGACCATCAAATGTCAATCCAATCATATTCAAGGTTGGTGGAGTCTATCCCAGATGTTTGGAATAAAACTGTATCTATTGTGGGTCATTTGTGGCTGAGGGTTATCCTAAACCCTTTGCACTCCTATTGGTTATCCCATACCCTTTCACCCTCCGGTTCTGGCCATTCCTGGTGCCTATCACTTTGCGCAAGGCAGCAGCAAATGCTTTCCTGGCGAATCCGAAGAAGGGCAAACAGCGTGCCCCAAAGAGCAAGGCAAGGGCCAAAGACAAGGGTAACAAGTGATATGCCAAAATGGCGTACCGTGGGTGCGAAGGTGTGCTTAGAATGGCTTTTCATATGCACTAGGGTGGAAAGCCAGGTGCATCACCGTCGCTGCTTTTGGGGACTTAGACAAGTGGAGACATTTGTCTATTATTTTGATCTTTGGCCTCAGAATGTTATGACTAAAATAAAACCACAAACAGATTTGAACCGTGTGCGTTGGTTTTGAGCAGGCCAAGTGGAACTTCAGCTGACACAGCTGCCCAGGTGAAATCCTGGACCAATCCAAACATCTCTCGATCGGCAGAAGGTAAAAAGGAATGTGTTTGAGTCTCCCCCTGTCCCAATCAAAGTAAACAGTGTAACCCTTCAAGAATCTGACAATCACATGTATGAAGGAATGCCCATTCAGTGTTTGTCTTTGGGAAGCACTACTGAAGTGTCGGCATCTTCAATGTCTAACAGGTTGCATTAGGCTTCCCCACACCACTGCATCACTCTATTGACCGGCCTCTCTGCCAGGTGACGCGTCGACAGTGAGGCCAGCTGGGCCTCTGCAGGTTGAACATCCATCGAAAAGCTCAAAAGAAATGGCAAACTTTCAATCTGGTCCGAAAAGGTTACAATGAAAACATACGCAATATTTATCATGTGATTTCACTTGATCTATTCTCCACTGTTTGATGGAAAAATGTATCCGGTTCCTGAGATCAACACAGTCCAAAGGTTTTAGATCGAAGCGTGCAACTTATCCGAACAGTTTATGATGAAAACAATCAGTGTATTTGTCAATGTGTTTTACCGTCAATCTCTGCCCAACACTTCGACAGAAACATGCAGTGTGTTCTCTCGATCGACCTGTTCCCTACTATCCATCCTTGTTTCTAAGATTCTATCAATCTGACCCCATCCATGCCCACACCCTTTCCAGGGCACACCTGCTCATTTTGATGGAAGATAATATTTATAAGATCTTACAAGGGTTAGCCACCAACCCAACTATGAGCTAGAACTACAACCCTAACTCAAAGCGCCCTGCATATGTGGCAGGAAGCGACAAAGACTGGAGAAATGTGGCACATCTCAAACATGTGAGAAGCTGCTTCACATGGTGAGTCGGGGACGCATCTCTGTTTCAGGGGCAGTTGATTTAACCAATTGTATGGTGGAGGATGGCATGATGCACCAAGCTGTTGAGAGCTTCGCTAGCCTTGGGACAAACAACAAGTTTCCCTCCAACGGTGAACGCGACTTCCACAGATGGTTGAAAGATCTGTTTGGATTTAGATTGCAGCCATACAGCATCTGGTTGAACTTACAAGACACTCAGCTATTTAAGAATGCTATTGTGGGATCCACTCCAAAAAAACAGCCACAATGGAAATGAATTTCAAACAGGTGATACTTGTTTTATTAAGGGCCTATTTTTGAAATGGATCCCACAATTGTTTTGATAGTATTTGATTTGCGGGGTATTTGGCAAGAAACAAATCTGATCCCCAGTTTTTGTGATTTTTGATTTTCTGAGAGCCCATTTTGCTGGGATTGTTCGTGGCCACAAATGGTTTTGGGGAATGTTTCCAAGCAAGGTTTATGAATGATATGAATGGATCTTCAACTGCCCAAATGTAGCGTTTTAAGTATTCCAAAAGAAGTGTTCTTAAACCCAAGTGAATGGTTCCAATTCTGTCCCCCAGGTTGATGGGTTTCGTCCGAAGAGATGCAAGGTGCAATGCTTGCTCCCACACGAGATCATACATAGCCTAGCTGACCATCCTTTTGCCTTCAAGTCCTTGTTAGCAGGGAACATGGACCCCTCTTCCATTGAACAGTTTTGGCGGCATTGCCAGAAACTAGATGCTTGGAGCCAGCACCCCATTTTCAGTGGTGGCTTTCCCTTGGACAAAATGATACCGTTGACGATACATGGAGATGGTGCCCAGTTCTATCGAGAAGACGAGATGTTCACCTTTTCCATCTCTTCACTCTTTGCTCCCAGTGGCTTGATACAAGATATTTTGCTATACAAGTTCCCGTTCCTCATCATCCCGGAGCGGTACATGAGGAGTGAATCTGTTTCTCAACTATATCAACTATATCTGTAGGGTACATGCCTTTTTACCCAAAAAATGACTAAAGTCATTACCCCTTTTTACTGTGTTTGGCAATCATCATGCCCAGGTAGCGAAACAAGTCAACGAGACGGCTGCGAAGCTTGCCTCCTGGTCAATCGGATGCGCCATGGAAGGAGTGATGCCTTCCGTTGGGTTTGAAGGAGAGCCGTTGACAGGGCACCGACTGGCTATGAAAGGGAAGCCCATGGCTTTTGGATGGAGGCTACTTGGCCCCATATGTTCCCACAAGACATAGATCCCCACACAATATTTAGTCATCAACCCATCGCTGTGAGATGATGAGAGTTTACATGTCTCAGCAAAAAACAAGTAAACACTTTAACGGTGTTTTTTTTTTGAACTTCATGTCGTATCCATATCTTTGAGATGGGATGGACCCTTCCAAAACGTTCCCATAGGCCCCAAAGGTTTTGGTTTCATGTAAGTAAAATGACATTTGATACGAACCCAAGAGCAGTTGTGATATTGACTACCTTTGGCTGGATATGGCCCACCAATTTTCTGAATCCATCCATGTCTTAACATACAGTATCTCCTTCAGATCGTAGGTGGGTCCTTCCGATATCTACAAACCGTGCCCATAGGCCCCAAGTAAGTAAAATGACATTTGATATGAAACCCCACGATCATTCATGATGTTGAATATCTTTGTCTGGTTATGGCCAAAAAGAACAAAACCCAACCTTTGTTTTTTTGGGCCAAGGGCCTGCTACTACGCAATGAAAGCAGATCTGAAAGCCCGACGCTGGATGCATGGTTTTGGACGGTATTACAAAGCCGGCTTGTGGCTTGTCTTTGCCCATCATGTGTTGTGAAATTTTACTTTATTGTAGCCCCAACCTTATGGCATCAAGATCATTAGGGGATGTGTATAGCACAATGGCCCCAGGATGTGTGACAGTTGCCTTGCAGAATCTGGGACTAAATGTGACCATCGAATGCATTACAAAAACTTCGGCAACTCCAAAGCATGGCCTCTGACTGCCGTAAGCCACAAGATGTACATGGCTATGCCTGGCCAGCTGAGTCCATGGAGTGGGGTACCCGGTTGGACCCTTGAATCCACAACCTTTGACTTCATGCACAACTTGTATTTGGGTACTGGTCGGGATTTGATTGGATCCACCTTCAAGATCCTTTTACGGAGAGGAGCATACTCCCATTTGCCCTTTACTGATACTGACTCCATCCTAGCGTTTTTGCAGGAAGAAATGGTGAATGATTGTGCCCAATCCGGGCCCCTGGGTCAAATATAATTTGTTTGGTGTTTGCATTTTGGTTGTAAACTTTTGTAACCCAAGAAGTCTTGCACAAACATTACTGGAGTTGAGCGACCAGGTTGTATCTGCCCAGAAAACCGACTTTGACTGAGACAAGCTTGAGCGACAAAGACTACTGTGAATTGAGTACCAAATTCAAGGCATGCCACATCAAGATCATGGTATTCTGGGTGGCTAAGAAAACGCAGGAGGTTGCCGATGGAAACCCTCAGGTTTCTAGATTCAATTACATGATTTTCTTGGGGAGGTGCCCCCCAAAAATAACCCCTATGCAGACATCAAAAGGATCCATTTCCAGGGTATTAATATTAAGGTATCCCTTCATCCAAGAACGCTGAATCTAAGGACATTGTTTTACAAGTCCTTGCGACCTGTTGCTACAGCTTGCAAAAGGTGGTGACCCTACTCGACAGTTCAGGAATAATTTTGGATGGTGATACTGCAGGGAAAGCTTCAGACTTGTTGCTTCTCCACATCAAGTCCTATGCTTGGCTGGCGGCATTCTTCTACAATGAAAGAGTGATGGTCTTTCGCATACGTCCGAAATTGCATTACATTTACCATCAGGCAATCCAACTTCGTGAGTGGAGAATCAACATAGGTGTGTTTGCGACCTTTCATGATGAAACGTTCCTGGGTAAAATCAAAGCAGTGGCAACTGCTTGCCATGGGAAAACCATGACATATAGAGTGTACGAACGGTACCTCTTATGCCTAGCTCTTTTAGTTCACCAGCACCAGATGTTGGAAAACTCCAACAGCTGACTCTTGGGGTAAAACATTGACTGTACAGTTTCAGTAACTGGCTGGCTCTGCAATGCAACATTTTTTAAGCAATGTTTGGAGAAACCCATTTGGATATAAATAGCCCGTCGGGTGAATTGTTGCACTGTGGGCCCGCTGATTACCAAAACAAAAGTTTGTTGCAGGGGACTTGCAACCAGGCGAGGTGCACCTCAACGGCGCGTCCACCATGCGCAAAAGGGATTTCAGCTACGTTGAACCTGTGAGTGTATGTTTCAAGTAGGATTTTTTGGAACGCCATTCATATTAGAACCTGTCAGGTTTTGTGAAACTGTTCAGCCGTTTCCCCCTTCACATGTTTGAAAAACACTGGTGGGGAAATAGTAGGTGGATACCAAATTCTCTGCACCTGCTTGTGATGTGGAAGCGGATGGCACGGCCCGGGCATCAGGTGAAACCACCACATGGTTGAAAAGTTTGGGGTTTAGAAAATTTGATGATGTGCCATGTATTGAATGGGAACCATTATGTAGCCACCAAACTATCATCCAATAAGCTGTTTAGTCTTTTTGTGGTTTCCATTTTGGAACCCGTCACAGGTTCACCCAGTGGAGATTTTGGGACCCACATGGACCCACCATGAAAGCCCTACAAACAGATCAGTATTTTTTTGGAATTTATATTGCGTCATGTGCACAAACTTATCCATTTATAATATATAATGGTTATCTAATGGCTTAGTCCTTACGTATTTGGTTGGGATTATAACCATGTAAGTGTCACCTTACCCATAATTACTAATTGTGTTTTCTTGTTTTTGAATCCGCCATCATGCTTTCAGGGTTATGCAGCAGCCAAAGTTTATAACTTGGCCCAGGGTTATGCAGTTGCCAAAGTTTATAACTGGGTCCTTGTGCATTACGAGGTGCTCCTGGAAATTTATCCATGTGTCAGTTTATATGATTTGATCTTTGTTTTTTTTTAGGGGTCAAACGCGCACCCCCCCGAAAATCATTCAGCACATGGTTCCATCAGCGGGTGGTTCCCCCAAGTCACAAGTTGGTTTGGAATCCTTTACTTATGATTATATCACCCCCTATAACCCTTAGTATTTGCATGAAGTTTAAAGCCAACTTAGTTACCCGTGGTGCCACATCTGCACTTGGCCATTTGATTTTTGGAAAGGGATCCATCACGCGACTCCCACACGTTTATCAATTGCAAACCTATAAGCTTGGTCCCGGTTTTTTCTTTGCAAACCCCAAAGGTTTGTTGGGCATGCAGTCTTTGATTTTTGGCAACCCCCAAAGCCCTTTTGGCAGAGGAATCATGGTTAGAAACTTACTAACGAAATAATTTGTTACTATGCAGTTCCATAACTTGGTCATACTTGGTCCCTGTGTTTTCTTTGCAAACCCCAAAGTAGGTTTGTTGGGCATGCAGTCTTTGATTTTTGGTACCCCCCAAAGCCCTTTTGGCACATGAAAAATGGTTAGAAAGTTACCAAGGAAATAACTTGTTACTATGCAGTTCCATGACTTTCAAACTTTCAAACGCATGTGCAAGCTGGAAAGCTTAGGGTTTCATTAGGCCTTAAAAATACTGTCACATAGATATTTGCCGTGTATGTGTCTAAAACGTTCATGGCCATTGGAAACCCTAAAACGCTCCCGTTGGAAACCCTAAAACGCTTCCGTTGGAAACCCTAAGTTGCTTCTCATGCATCGAAGAATTAAAACTATTCCAACACATATACCTATAGAACATATTATCATTGGAAACCATGGCTGGAACCTACAAACCCTAAAACGCTTCCGTTGGAAACCCTAAAACGCCTCCGTTGGAAACCCCAAAACGCTCCCGTTGGAAACCCTAAGACGCTTCCGTTGGAAACCCTAAAACGGTTCCGTTGGAAACTCTAAGTTGCTTAAAAAAAAATCTAACACATATAGCGCACTAATTGGAAACCGTTGGAATCCACAAAACCCTAAAACGCTTCCGTTGGTAACCCTAAGTTGCTTCTCAAGGGATCGAAAAATTAAAAATACTCCAACAAATATAAAACACTATTGTTGGAAACCGTGTTTGCTGGAACTCACAAAACCCTAAAACGCTTCCGTGGGAAACCCTAAAACGCCTCCGTTGGAAACCCTAAACCGCTATATGATATATATATATATATAGGTATATATATATATGTGTGTGTGAGAAAACAAATTTATGGGTTCCATGGGGTTGCTTTGAAGCAGATTATGTTGCGCTGAGATGTCCCCAGCATGGGGGTCGTGCAGTAGCTGTTTAGATGTGACAGAATTTTGCTTCACAGCCCTTTGCTTTGAGATGTGACAAATTTTTGCTTCACAGCCTTTTGCTTTTAGATGTGACAATTTTTGCTTCACAACCTTTTGCTTTCAGATGCGACAAATTTTTGCTTCACAGCCTTTTGCTTGTGCAAGCAAATGCACCGTCTGGCACAGGTGAATTTTTGTACAGGTTTACTTTTGTACAAATTCTTTGTACAGATTTTTTGTATAGATTCTTTGTACAGATTATTTTTGTACAGGTTAAGTCTTTGTACAGGTGAATTTTTGTATAGATTCTTTGTACAGATTATTTTTGTACAGGTTAAGTCTTTGTACAGGTGAATTTTTGTACAGGTTAAGTCTTTGTACAGATGTTGTTTGTACAGTCTTGAGACACTGTCTCTCTTTTGTACAGTTTATGCATGCTTTTGTACAGATTAATGAACATTCTGCATGCACTGTTGTAGATTTGAGACAAGGATCTCTTCGTCCATGATTCAAAGACAATTTTGCTGTGCTGCTTTCATTACCAGATGGCTTCTGCAAAAGGCATCGTTTTTACCAATGACATCGTTATCTTGAAAACAATGTTGTTTGAAGATATAGTTGTCCTTTATGGATCGTTGGATCCTCTAGGCAGTGCGAGTGCGGCAACCGGTGTATCGATGTATCGGTGCGAGGGCGGCAATCGGTCTATCGGTGTATCGGTGCGAGGGCGGCAATCGGTCTATCGGTGTATCGGTGCGAGGGCGGCAATCGGTCTATCGGTGTATCGGTGCGAGGGCGGCAATCGGTCTATCGGTGTATCGGTGCGAGGGCGGCAATCGGTCTATCGGTGTATCGGTGCGAGCACAGCAATCGGTGTATCGGCGCATGAATGCGTGCGCGGCAGTCCGTGTATTGGTGTATCAGCACGAGCGCAGCAACCGGTGTATCAGTGCGAGTGCGGCAACCGGTGTATCGATGTATCGGTGCGAGGGCGGCAATCGGTCTATCGGTGTATCGGTGCGAGCGCGGCAATCGGTGTATCGGTGTATCGGTGCGCGCGCGGCAATCGGTGTATCGGTGTATCGGTGCGCGCGCGGCAATCGGTGTATCGGTGTATCGGTGCAAGCGCGGCAATCGGTGTATCGGTGTATCGGTGCGCGCGCGGCAATCGGTGTATCGGTGTATCGGTGCGCGCGCGGCAATCGGTGTATCGGTGTATCGGTGCGAGCGCGGCAATCGGTGTATCGGTGTATCGGTGCGCGCGCGGCAATCGGTGTATCGGTGTATCGGTGCGCGCGCGGCAATCGGTGTATCGGTGTATCGGTGCGCGCGCAGCAAACGGTGTAGCGCAGGGGGTTGTATCGGTGCGTAGGCGGTGTGTTGGTGTATTGTTGTATCGGTGTATCGGTGTATGGGTGCGAACGCGGCAATCGGTGTATCGGTGTATCGGTGCGAACGCGGCAATCGGTGTATCGGTGTATCGGTGCGCGCGCGGCAATCGGTGTATCGGTGTATCGGTGCGCGCGCGGTGTATCGGTGTATCGGTGTATCGGTGCGAAAAACGTTTAGCGGACCCCAATCCCGAACGCTATGATATGCATATATGTGTGTGTGAATGATTATAAATGTATGTTTATGTAATGTGTACTTGTACATGTATCCTTGCACGCATACTGTGTATGTTCTGTTGGTTTATATATACCTGAGAAGGGGGGAACGAAAGCCCGCATCCCATCTATCCCTATGTTCCCCAATATTTTTCACCCAGAGACTCTTCACCCAGAAACCCTTCTGGCACATACTTTTCACCCAGAGACTCTTCACCCAGAAACTCTTCTTGCACATACTTTTCACCAATATACTTTTCACCCAGAGACTCTTCACCCAGAAACTCTTCTTGCACATACTTTTCACCCAGAGACTCTTCACCCAGAAACTCTTATTGCACAGACTTTTCCTTTCACCCAGAAACTCTTCTTGCACATACTTTTCACCCGAGACTCTTCACCCAGAAACTCTTCTTGCACATACTTTTCACCCATATACTTTCCACCCACAGGTTCTTTACCCAGAAACCCTTCTTGCACATACTTTTCACCAATACACTTTTCACCCAGAGACTCTTCACCCAGAAACTCTTCTTGCACATACTTTTCACCCATATACTTTTCATCCAGAGACTCTTCACCCAGAAACTCTTCTTGCACATACTTATCAACCAGAAACTCTTCTTTCACATACTTTTCACCCAGAAACCCTTCTGGCACATACTTTTCACCCATATACTTTTCACCCAGATACTCTTCACCCAGAAACTCT